ATAGAGCTGTCACTAAAGAGCTCGCAAACATGAGGACCTGGGTTCAGATCCCCAGTGCCCATGTACAAAGACTGGCATGGCAGTGCCCGTTTGTAAATGTCAGCACTGGTGAGGTGGAGACAGATGAATCCCTGGGGCTTGCTGGCCAGCCAGCCTGGCCTATTGATAACTCCAGGTCCCAGTGAGAGACCCTGCCTCAAAAAGCAAGGTGAGTGGCTTCTGAGGACCAATGCCTAAGAGTGGTCTCTGGCCTCCACACAAATGCACACATGTGCCCGTGCACCTTCCCCAGAGAGAGAAAGCAAGAAAGAGAGAGAGAAGAGAGGGAGGGAGGGAGAGAGAGAGAGACAGAGACAGAGACAGAGACAGAGAGGAGAAAGGGGGGATATAAAATTTGAGGTCCTCTACAATTGTCACACTTCTTATACTTTTCATGAGAATATATATTTTTTAAAGTTAAATAAGGTCTGGAGAGATGGCTTATCAGTTAAGACCACTGGCTGCTATTCTAGAGGACCTGGGTTCAATTCCCAGCACCCATATATCAGCCCACAACCACCTGAAACTCCAGTTCAAAGGAATCTGGTGCCCTCTTTTGGCCTCCATGGACATTGCATGCACGTGGTGTACAGGACATACAGGCAGGCAGAACACTCTTACACATACAAACAATAAGATAATTTAAAACATTTTAATGTTCTCTTCTGAATTCTTATCTATACCTCTACTGGCAAAACAACTGGTGTCATTAGAGACACAGAAACGAAGTTGAGCAGTGCTGACACAATTAATGAGTCAAAAGGTCCAAGTAAGTGGAGTCAGGGTGAAAACGATTATGCGGACAACTAAGAGTTATGGCCCACGTATCCTGTCCTTGGCAGCTGCAGTACAGACAGATGGTTCTGGGGTTCTGGGATAAGGAGACCATAGTATTTCCCAGGGACCTTATGAAACCACCTACTTATGTGAACTATGTCAACACCCTGGAGGAAAAAGCAAGAGGTAGGAAATAGCATCTGTCTGTGGTGCATCCGAAGTGAGTTGGGTAGAGTGGAATCCTTCCATTGGCATAGCGCATTTCTCCAGGGCAATCCTGAATGAGAAGCTGACAGGCCATGCCCTACTCATGTTCTTCCAGTAATGACAATACTGGGCATGTACAAGATGCTTTTCATTTTCACACGTATTATCTTGCTGAAGATTTTTTTTATATCATTCCTGAAACATATATGAATGTTGGATTTCAATCATAGATGAAACTTGCAACTGATTTTGAAGCACGTTGTAACCATAAATAGCTGTGAATGTACGCCCAAGAACACGTCCTGTGTAACAAGAACAGTGTGTGTCTTTAAAGTGCCCATGTGTGAAACCTGACAGTTGATGGATGGCTGTAGGAGGCCAGTTCTTTTCCAAGTCCCTCCCAGGAATCACGTGCATGTTTTTCAGATACTGAGTGTTTGGTATTGGTTTTAATTTGCAGCCAAGAATCTTTGTCTTTTCAGCTGATTCCTTTTCTTGTTTTTACCTGTATCCCCTTGAGCTGGAAATGTTAAAGAGAGTGATTAAAATCAAACAGATACTTTCTTTCTGTGGCCAACGAGAGAACATTCTGTAAAGTGGGGAAAGTATTGGTAAAAAAGGAACAGCATTTTTTTTTTAAGTAAAACCTTCCATAGTGAGATCAAACCAGGCATCTGCTGGGAAAGGAGAATGGCTCGAAGGTAGTGTAAAGCTGGGGACAGATACGAGCCACAGATGAAAACAGTTACAACTTACAGAGCTCTGTCCACCATGCTCACATGGAGTAGGTTGGTGATAGAAACGCAGCAAATCTCACAGCTCAGGTGCTGCGATGGAACTTGGGAGCCTGAGGTTTTAGTTTAAGATTCCTAACTTGGTCACCTGTGGTGACTCAGTGACCCTCTGTAGACCTAAATACTGTCCCGAAAATGGGTTGTGCTAAAGCACTCAGCAGAAATGTTAAGCAATGTATACAAGATCTCACACTCAGTAAACAGCAGTGTTGGGACCAGAGCACAGGGCTGACATTTCAGTGAGTTCAGGGTCAACACGAAGCCCATGCATTACTTGATTTGATAGCAAATCCATTTATCCCAAATCAGCCAGGCTCACCCAGCTCATACTGGAGTCATATTAATTATTGTTTGGGTGCTGGGATCAAACTCAGGTCAAATGAGCATGTTAAATTCATGCTATACCACCGAGCAACAACCCATGCCACAAAGAAGTACTTCTAGGATTCCCTTGTAGTCTGCAGATTGTTTTGGCCTTGCTTGGAAGGTAAATTCTGTGGATTTTATACCCCATCTTTCAGAGACATATGTTATGCCATCCTCAGGCATCCAATACTGATGCTGTTCTGAGCTTTCTTATATACTCTCTGTCTGCGTCTTTTCAGGTCAGATTGCCACAAATGTCTTGTGGGCATAATGGAGCACCCCTGTGTTTTGTGATGCTCTCCATTCTTCCTACCATCATACTTGGCCTTCATCCCCACCACTCACATGGTGGTGCTAGCTTAAGGGGATCTCAGCTCTCTCTTTGCATGTGACATCTTATTCTAGAAAACTCCCTAATCTGGTGGGAAACATCTTTACTTTGTGATGTTTCCTTTAGTGAGACACAGATCTCCTTTAGAAGGATCATAAATCATGACAAATAGTGTCACACTGGATGCCCTTCCCTAGAAATATCCTCCTCATCTCCAGAAGGAAGAAGAACATTGAAAACAGCCTAAATATTCCTAACCTGAAAATCTGGTATCAGCAATACTCCCAAATCCAAAACTCGATGAGTGAGTGCTGCCATGCACTCCAGGGGGAAAATTCAATGTCCTGAGGCTTTGTTTCATGCAGAGAGTTAATTAAAAATCATATAAAATTGCCCCCACAAGCAGGGCTTTGCTTCATGCACAAATTATTTTAAAACATTGCATAAAATTACCTTTGGTCTGTATGTACAAAGTTTATATGAAATAAATTAATTTCATATTGGGTCCTATCCTCCTCCAAGATATCTCATTACATATCTGTAATTGTTTCAAAATCTAAAAAGAATCTAAACTCTGAAATACTTCTAGTTCCAAGTATTTTGGATAAGGGTTACTCAACCTATCTCTACATAATCTATATTGAAAGTTCTCATCTGTTTAGAAGTCAGACTTTCACAACTTTTCCATATAAATATGCTTTTATCCTAAAGAGGTTATAAAAACACTTCTCTCTGATGTCAAAAACAAAATTAAAGACCGTGAGATTGGGACAAGGAGACTCCTTGTTTGGGGAGGACAATGGCCCTATAGCAAAAAGTCCCTCCCCTTTGCTCCCAGGCAGTACCTGGTTGTGTCTGTTGGCATCAGCTGCCAGGAGGAAACATCCTGTTCGTTGTCCCTCCCCTCACTGAGTGAGACTATTTCTCTGTCTGGGAGGGAGCCCCAGGCTGAAGTTTCGGAGAGAGCGTGCAGATGGCCTCTGTTTTGATACCAGCTGTGGCTCATGATGTCATGCTCCTACCTACTATTGTGTGGCTCAGAGCCTCAAAACCAAGGGGATGAACGAAGATGTGAAGGTCGTTTAATAGGAAACATATACCAGACTCATGGTGCACAGGCTTTTGTTCCTGCTGCTCAGTAGATATCGCCCCCATCCCTCTTTCTCTCTCTCTCTCTCTCTCTCTCTCTCTCTCTCTCTCTCTCTCTCTCTCTCTCTCTCTCTCTCTCTCTCTCTCTCTCTGTGTGTGTGTGTGTGTGTGTGTGTGTGTGTGTATGTGTACATGTGCATATGTATGGAGATGAGAGAACAACTCCTGGTGTCATCTACAGGAATATCTTCTACCTCCTTCGGTGCAGGCTGTATCATTGGCTAGAGATAATCAAGTAGGCCATACTGGCAGGGAAGCTAGCTCGCTCCAGGGACACTATCCCCCGTCCCCCCATCTCCAGCTCTCCAGGGCTGAGATTACAAGTGCTAGCTCTACCTGAAATTTTGTGTACGTTCTGGGGATCGGGATCGAGCTTGAGTCTTTAAACCTGTAAGCAAGTGCTTTCCCAAGGGAGCCATCACCCCTCCACACCATCCCCAGGTCACAGATCATTCTTAAAGGAGCCCTTTCTTGAAATTGTTTATAATGATCATCTAACAAATCCCAAAAGTATCCACACACTCCTGTGATGATCTTTTATTCCAGTTGCAATCCTATTACTGCCTCCTTTATCCTGTGATGTAAATAACATGGTGTTTAATGTCACTGGGTAAGTGCTTGGCTCAAGGTCACGTAGACAGCCAATAGCCAATCTGAGCCAAAATCTAAGGCTCTCAAAAATCATCCATATTTCTCACTACTTCCTTGAAACATAAAACCAAAATAGCCACAGAATAGAAGTAGAAAAGACAGTATGTGGAAAAGAATATTTCTTTAGACAGTTCATTTGAAAAGTGGAACCTTGTATTGCTGCTAAGTGGATGTTCTGACCTTCATTTACATCTGGCTGAGCCAATGAGCAGAAGTAAGCACAGTGCAGGAAGTGTGACCATCCTCATGCTGGGCCCAGCTAAGGCAGCTGGACAGCTTTAAAGAATTTGGTGAATCAAAGGTCCTCTGAAAGTGACATGGTGAACATAAGCATCCACCATCCTCAGCTTCAGTTACTTTATTACTGGAAGGACATGCTTGCCTCCACCTTCTTCTTAGTCAGTTTTTAAAAAATATCTATCAAATTATGAACATTGGGAACACTATGTTTACCAAGGATTGTGTTTTACACCAATCAACTTACTTAAGATAACAATCTAGGGAAGGGGAAAGGAAAGAGAAAAATGTATTAAAAATTTAAATCTTATACCCAAATGTAATAGGATTTCCAGCCAGAATTGTCTCTATGTCATGACCTCTGTCTTTCGTGAAGATTCTTTTTTCAGGCAGCATCTTGAAATTCTTATTTCTTTTCATCACAGGTGGATGGTTCATAAAATAAAAGAAAGATACTCTCAAGATTGCTCAGCTAAAGAGGAAGTTTATTTAGAAATAACCCAGGCAGTATAGAGTTACATTTTAGAATATAAACTTCAGATTAAAACAGAACTGAATTGGAATCCTATCACTTCCCCAGCTTTTGCTATGAGCTTTCCAACCTTGACTTCGCCATCTGTAAAACAGGAATGATAATAAATAATGCCACTTTGTGGCATTGTTTGAAAATGAAATAAAACAGCACATGCATAGTGCCTTGGGCGTGTGTTCACTAACATCAGCCACTATTTGCGTAAAGGATATTGAGTCTCCATAGAGACGAAGATGGAGAGTTGATAGGCATGGAAAATACTGTTCTCTCTCTGTGGCACATATTAAGTCTGTCTGTCTACATTTATTTATATTTTATTTATTTTCTTCATGGTCTTTTTTTCTTTTAGTATTTTCGCTCAACTGGACTCCCTAAGTTTCCTCATCCTGTCTCTTGGTTGAAATGACAATTGATTGATAACTATTCTTTAAGTCTACTGGCTCTGTGCCGATCCTTTGAAAAATTGAAAACCCTACCTTCAAATTAAGTGTTTTAAAGACAGCCTGATTGGTTGCTGTCCAGCCAGTGAGCTCACACTCAGCATCAGCTAACAAGCCACAGCCAAGCTGTTAGTTTCCAGGGTCAAGCCAGTACTGGTGTTCATTTTGAGAACCAGTGCCTTCTTCCATCAGCCCAAACTCTGGCAGGAGAATCAAAGTCTTAGATAAACTGCGCTCCTCTGCCTACGATCTGAAAGCTCTATTGTGTAATACATTTGGGTGTCTTGCGAGGTCCACAAAGGGCCATTTCGAAAGCTTTTGGACAAAGATAATTGCATCCGAAGGAAACAGCTGTTTCTATATTTGCAGAGGAACATACAATTAAGTGAATGGTAGTGAGGGCACTTGTTTTAATTTGAGTGGGTTACCGTGGCCTTTGACGGCTGCCCCTGTGCTTGCAAATTCATTGGACCATGTTCACATCCCACCTCCTTCCCTGTGTTTCACAGCTTCTGGCTGTGTTCCCTTCCTGCCTGGGTTTCACTGCTGCTTCTTCCTGCATCCCCTGTATTCCTGTATTCATTCAGCACTCACCTCCATTTTGTGGATATAATCCCTTTCTGCTCCAGGTCATGTCTGTCTATCCTGAGTCACCCCCATCCTTTAGGACTCTTTCTTCCTTGGCACGTGTTTGTGATGTCCACTTAGGTTTGGACTAAGAGAATGGAAAGTAGAAGCAGGATAATTTCTCATTAACTTTCTTTTACTTGTTTCTGGGAACCATCATTGCTGCATTTTGTGTGATGAAATCTCACAGAACCCATTCAAGTCCGTTTCAAAAGCGCGGTATTAATCTCTTGCTGTTTACATGTGAGCTTGGTTCAGTTAGCGTCCTGAATGTTTAGGTCTGTGGTCAGTAGCTGTGGTTTGCCTCCCGACTTTGTTTAGGAAAACAAAGCTGAAACCCCAGGGTTCCTTTCCCTGGAGCATGAATGCACAGTCAGAGTTTCTTCTTTGAATTAGAGGCTGTGTCCCAAAGTAATTTAGTCTGAAAATCTCTAAATTCACATCCATGGGAAAGTACAGTACCAGCACCTGCATTTTCACTAAGACCAGCAAACTACGTCAGTGTTTGTCTTTCATTTTCTGTCTGTTTGCGGCAGCCCGGCTCAAGTCTAGGGCCTTGCACAGGCTAGGGAAGATCTTTACCCCTGAGCTCCATTGGAGCTTCCAGTGTGTTTTATTTAGAGTTCTTAGCACTAGAAACTAGAAGAAAGAAAGAGAGGAGACCAGTGTAGGGCCAGTGCCTTTAATCCCAGCACTCAGGAGGCAGAGGAAGGAGGATCTCTGTGAGTTCGAGGCCAGCCTGGTCTACATAACAAGTTCCAGGACAGCTAGGGCTACATAATGAGACACTATCTCAAAACAACAACAACCAAACCAAATCAAACAAGCAATCAAAAAGCACGATCAAAACCAACCAACCAACCAAAACCACAGCCCAAGCATAAACAAAATAAAACACAAACAAACAAAATACCCTTAGAAGGAGGAAGAGCAAAGCATGGGTTTCTTCATGTTACTGTAGAGCAACTACACCTGATTCTTAGAAAGTTCCACACGTTGTTAATATCCTTATGGGATAATAATTAACACACAAAAAGGTGTTAGGTGTCTTATTTATTTTTAAAAACTAAGTCAATTTCGATCTTATTCTGAAAGCTCATTTTTATACACTCTGCCTTTATTGACACATCTGACAAGAATTTTTGAGCCTCCCTTTTAAATTAGGTTGGTGTTCTCTACTGCATATACCGTGATACAGAAAACCTAATGATTGCCCAGTCAGCCACTGTGCATGAACTCCTTGGATTCACATCTAATAGGGTCTCCTCCTTTCTGAACCCAAAGTAAGGGTTCCACAAAACAGAAGCAGAAGGTAGGTGGTGACCTCACTCATCACTTTCTCCCCGGGCCTGTGTCAGAGAGCTTGGAACAGACGGGAGATGAAGTATGTAAGTGCAGAATTCTGCTGTAGCTCTGGAAGTATACTCTGTGTTGGTTTGTCTTTCTGGAATAAAGACAACAGCAGGAATAGCCGCCAACAGTTTTTGCATGCCTACAATGTCCTGGAAACCATGCAATAGGTGCCTGAGCACATCCTTTTTAGTACCTTTTGCTATCATGGCAACACCTTTCTGTGGCAGGAACTGTTACTGCTTGCCTTTCAAGACTGAGGAATCCGAGGTTCTCAAAGGTATTCTCTTGCAGCCCCGGCTAATTTTAAGCCAACACAAGCTAGTTATTTGGGAAGAAGGGCTCTCAATTTAGAATTACCTCCAGAAGATAGGCAAGCCTGTAGGCAAGCCTGTAGGACATTTTCTTAATTAGGGATTGATGTGGGAGGGCTCAGCTCATTGTGGGTGGTGCCACCCCTGAGCTGATGGTCCTCAGTTCTATGAGAAAGCAGGCAGAGCAAACCAGGAGGAGCAAGCCAGTAAGCAGCATCCCTCCATGGTTTCTGCATCAGCTCTTGCCTCCAGGTCCCTGTGCTGTTTGAGTTCCTGCTCTGGCTTCCCTCAGTGATGGACTGTGTTGTAGAAGCATCGGAAAATAAACCCTTTCCTCCCCAAGTTGCTTTGGGTCATGGTGTTTTATCACAGCAGTAGAACCCTTAAGTAAGACAATAGCCCAAGGCCATCAGCTTTGAGTGGCAGAGCTAAGGTTCCAGCCTGGATTCCTGAGTCAGGATCTGCTGGGAAAGGAGCTGTCCCACTGAGGTGTTACAGTCAATCATCCAAAAATGACTTACCGAGCATCTCACGCCTGCCAGTGTCAGGTCCAGCTTGGTTACTGTGGTCCAGATCCCCACACGTGAACGGAGGAAACCCAGGTTACCGTTGGCTCACAGTTTTAGAATGCTTTCAGTTCAGCCCCATGGAGCAGGTGTGTTAGCTGGAGTGGCTCCATCTGGGGAAGCTTGTGCCATAGCTGTTCACATGATGGTAGGCAGGATGTAGGCCAGGACCAGAAGTCACTGCACCTGTCAAAGGCCCACTATTGACTCACTTCGTAAAGGCTCTAATCATCTTCAAAGTAGTGCCCAAGGTTGGGGACAGAGCATTTAAATCTGAGCCTGTTGGGGACCTGTCGGGTCCAAAGGCTATCACTGCCAGGGGTTGTTGGTCCTGAAGATTCAGCAGTGAGACATGGGCACAGTCCCTATTCTCTTGAAGCTTGTGTTTGGTGGTGAGCAGAAAGTAGACAGAGGTCAGACAATTGCAGTGGAAAGTGGTAGGTGCTAAGGGGGAGAAGTTAAGGGGAGTGGGGCTTCTTTTCATGAGGATATTAGCAAAGGCTCCTTGGGAAGGTACCAGTTCACATATTTCAAACACAGTGATGGTCTTCAAGGGAGGTGTACTGAGGATGTAGTGGATACAATTGCTTTTCTTTCCTCTTTAGAGAATCCCCAGCAGGTGTCTTTCCCAGGGTCTTTGAAGAAACCATTTGTACATGAACCCTCAAATCCAGAAGAACACCTTCCAATATCCTGGAATCCATACATTCTTTCTTAGATACCTGTTGTATGACAGAACTATTCCTGGGGAGACACAGCACACATGTTTACTCACCCCAGACCAAAGTATAGATATCACCAAAATCCAACTTTGAACCATGAGTTTTATTGGGGTTGCTTACAGGAATAGGGGTGAGAGGTTATGATCACTTTTATGATTCAAAGACAGCAGCATCACCAAGGCCAACCCCAGCATGTGTGACAGTTCATAGAGTTGGGAATCTGGAGAACACTACACAGCCTAGAGGCAGTGCAACAGGTTGGAGAGTGTCCTTTCCAGGTGCCTCAGTTGGTCTAAACCTCTTCCAGGCAGCTCAGCTGGTTTCTGCTTCTTCCAGGCAGCTGGTCTGGTCTCAGAGTAGTCTTTGCAGCTGGGCTTCACTCCCTCTTAGAAGGACTCTTAGCTTTTATTATTTAACTCAGGCAGGAAGGGACCTAGTGAATCCGGTCAGTTTCAGGGACTTCCTGAAATGACTTTGAGTTTGTTTACCTTCCTGTTTAAGGATCTCTCCTGGAGGATTGAATGCTTCAATCTCAGAGGAAACAGTACATCAGGCTTGAAACAAAGAAACACCATGGACTTAGAAATTGTAAGTGTCATGGTTAAGAGCTGATTCTGGACACAAATACTGTTTGTCCATCCAAAATTGGTTTGTCAAATGAATTTTCTGTTAGTATAAATGACCCCAGAAAATTCACTTGTGAAAGAAAAGCAGTGCCTGTTGTACCCAGAGTCCCCCAAAGACCATCAAGAAACCAAATCCAATGCAAAAGTGAAGAGTCTTTTTATTGTTGCTAGTTAACTCGGGCCTCTCCGTCTGTCTGACATAGCAGTAGAGCAGGAGAGACCCTGAGTAGCAGTGGGGCCAGGTTTTTACAGGGGGTAAAGCAAGGTGGCAGGGGTGGGGGTGGGGATGTGGGGGTGGTCCTTGGGGTCTTCAGACTACTTAGAAACAGACTCAGGATTGGTTTATGTGAGTGGCGATCATGTTAGTAACTTTTGATTAACTAGTGTTAGTAGGGGGTTACAGTTATTCATTTTGGGGCAGACCTGGACAAGTCCCAGGCTTGTCTTTGAGCTGCTGTGGATGCTGGCTGGCCTAGCACGTACTGACTGTGGGGGCTGGCTCAGTGGCCCAGGCTTGGTGCATCCTATCTCCCTGTCTCTGCTGGCAGGGGCATCAGTGATTCATTGTCTTTTGTTCATGACCCTCCCAGAAACTGTTTGCTCACTCTCAGAGAACTGAAATTGAGTCCTGATCTCTGAGAGAAGACAGAGCAGCCTGTTATGGCGTCTGCTGGTCCTTTCAGTGCCCCTGATTCACACAGTTACCCAGGCATATAAATAAAGCTCACAAAATAAAACATCTGTGGGTTGGGAATTAGTCAAAAAGCTTAAAGCATCATGGAGGGAGGTGAGAATAGTTTTACACACACACACACACACACACACACACACACACACACACACACACACACACACACATTTTCATCCCCCCCACATAGTTGTAAGAATTTCTAAGAACAGTAGAACAACTTCGTCCTGTGGAGAACTGATGAAGTTTGTCCCAAAGCAATGTATTTAGGCAAAAATTTTCTAGCATGTTTGAAGAAAATGGTAAAAAAAAAATCACAGGCGATATGTATAGCTTTTTAAAATAAACTGCATTAAAGTGAGTGATCCAACCTGGGCACCCAGTCCTGGCTTGTGATAAACGTGCCCTCTCCAAATCATAGTTTTTCTCATAGCAACTGCAAGGCAACCTTGCTGTCATCTGCCATTGAAAGCAACAGTGTCACATCTCCTTAGAAAGTGTCCACACTTCAGGTTACACAGGTTCCTGGTAGCCATCACCGCAGTTATTCATAATTGGTGAAGAGTGCCCCTCTTGAGCTCTGAGACCACTGAACGAGAATGGATCGCAAATGCCTGGTCCCAGATTCTTAGTGTCAAGATTCTATTTTCTTCCTGGTGTCATCTTTCCTTCTGCCTTCTCCTTCCATCAGTTTTTAAGAGTCAGGTAAGTAGAATTAATTTCTGTTTCAGTATCTCCAGCTGTTTTTCCATCATTAATTTTGCTTTTGCTCCAGAAGATTTCCTGTTCATTATAGAATAAAAATGAACACGCCTCGGGGCATTTCACATTCTCTTAGCAGTCATAATATTTTTTTACAAAAGCCCCTCCATACCTCCTAAAATTTAATATATTCTCTGAGCTAATTCCAGTCTGCTGATGATATGCCTGTATTACTAAAATCAAGACATGGCCCAATTTGGACGAGTGTCATTTATTCAGTCCAAATGTCTTCAAGCCTGCCCCTGACCAGCCAGCTATAGGGACCACGCTGTGAAGAACACAGAACAGTAATCCTTCACGTTCATGGAGACGTCTACTTCCTAAATCACATGCAGGATTTTATCACTCAAGCAGGAACAATTAAAATCTTTATGGAAAAACCTGGTTTTTCATTAGTGAGATGAGGAAAAACAAAGAAAACAGAATGAGTAGAAAAGAAATACTGGAAATGAAAGAGAATTTGTAAACGATGTGGTAGGAGTCAGAACGCCAACTCTTTCTAAGGAATTGGCTGGTGATTTTAGGTTGTCATAAAAGCCAGGAAAAAAATACTGGAGAGAGGCAGTGAAGGTCGCACGCAGAAGGAGACCAAGGTCTCCATTTCCATCTTTCAAGTTCAGCTCTGAAAAGCAGGTCAACAAGCAAGAGAACAGGCCGAGCAAACAAGCCACATCCGAGGACCAGGTCTGGCCTGTGGGCCATCACTTTAGAAATCCGGCATCCGACAAAATCGGCCAGCCAGCTCTGAATTATCTGGGCCAAGGTGCGGAGAAGTTTGCCCAGAGAGCTGGCAGAGATGACCCACTCCAAGGTCATCCCCAAGCTCTTGCCTCTCCCATTAGGCTGAGCGATAGTCGTCTTCTTAGGTGGTGTCTTGACTTCAGTGCAGTACTATTTCTAGAGCGCAGCAAAGTGGCGCCTACTGTCACTGTCCGTTCTGCTACATTTGGTCTGGAAGGAAGATGAGCAGAATGCCAGCATGTGGTCCTGCTGTAGCATTGCTGCTTAAACCTGCTGTGCTGAGCTCTTGTGTTCTGCGGCCTTTAGCCAGTCAACTTGAAAACAGTCATTTGTATGTGTGAGGTCATGTAACATGAAATGATGCTTTCATGACAGATAATATATATTACATTATGCTGTCTACTTAAGATTATAACAGAGCTGAAACATTCCTACCACCTAGTGACATCACAGCCCCATAACATCATGGCACCAAGTATCACTCATGAGTTTGTAGACCTATTGGGTGCCATTCATATATAACCACAGCTCATGCAATTATGTACAGCAAAAATTCCTGATAATGATAATAAAGGACTGTGTCATTGGCTGATATATTTATCATCTATATTTTAGTCATTATTTTAGATTGTGGTTTTCTGCTTATTGAAAAACAAATGCTGTAAAGCAGTATGCCATGTTATGTCCATACCATCTCTCATATCTTGTGTTTACTGTATCTTGATTATATTTTTGGTACTTCATCTGATATCCTGTTAACATTTTTCATATGGTACAAGGAGCAATAGGCTATAACATATACATATACCATCACCTAAGTATGTAAGAGGTTTCACTCTACAAGTGGTTTTAACTCAGTAATGTTTGCATAAAGACAAAATTACCTAATAGTTAAGGTTCTAGAACATATCCTCATATTAAGCAACACATCACTGTATAAGTGCATATGTATATAATGTACATATATATGTACATCATTGCTTATATAGGCAATGACTCTTTTTATATCCACATATGGATTTTAAACAATTATGCTCTTTTCCAATACTATTTCCTTTTACTCTGACTATGTATTTTTATAATATCTTACCATGTGTTTTTCTAATAGATAAGAAAGCCTTTTCCTGACAAGAAACACTTAGGCTTTTCTTTTCTCTTGAATATATAGGAACGAGACCCAGGAAACTATAGGTTAGTTTGATCATCATGTCAATTAAATGAGAGTGCAGCAACATTGATAAGGATGAAGCGTGTTTCTTGGATTAATGAGTGAAAAATTCCCTCCCTATGATTTCCTTCCCATTAGCATTCTAGCCATTAAAATGTCAGTGTCTTGAATGTTGCCTTTGAATTCCTCAGTGATGTACTCAGGGCACCTTACTTTGGCCTTACATCTTGGCGTTTTCTTTCATCTCTCTGTTACCAAATGTTATCCACCTCGTGTCTCACTCTGTCAGATCCTGTCTAGAAACGGCTCCCAGTGGCTGACTGTGTCACCTGTCTTAGGGAGTTTATTGACATTTTAAAGCAGAGCAAGAGACACTTCCTGATAGGCTTCTAGCTACATCTATACGGGTCAATGACTCTTTTTCATAAGCTCAGGGACTTGTCTAAGGGTTGTACAGTGCAACATAAGCTGTTCTCCTCAAGCCACATAACCCCAAGAGCAGCCATTCTCCAAGTGAGCTCTGCATCCTCTAGGAGCTTGATATAAGTGCAAATTCTTGGGACCAACCACAGACCAAATCAGAAAGTGTAGGTAGGATCTTGCGATCTGTGCCTTGCTGAGCCCTCCAGGCCATCATGAGGAAGGCTAGCTTTTTACTGCCGTGCTAGAGTGTTTCCCTCCGTAATTCTGTATGTAGTCTTATCCTTTTCCCACCTATCTCCCTATCTAAACTGTAAACCCTAAATCAGAAGTGATTTAACTCGGTTGTTATTACGAAACACCACTGAGGATTCTAACATCAATCCATGACACACAGGAGGTGCTCAGTGACGTTTTGTTGAACACATGAGTATGTGAATGGCTGGCAAAATGCCTTTCTTAGTAGTGATGCATGTGCCTGCGTGCTGAGACTTTAATAGCCCATTATAGAGGCAGGACAGATAGGACTACATAGGGATTAATGTGAGCTTTACTGTTTGATTGAAATCTTCACTCTACCATCTATTGGCTATATAATCATTGGGAAGTTGCTTATGCTCTCCCTGGGTCCTGATATTTTCATGTGTAATACAGGACGATGCGATAGTAATAATACATCAACCTTCTAGGGTGTTCTTTACAAAAGTGGTGGCAGTAATGTTTGTTACTTTACCTATGTGTGTCTTGTCTTCCCAAGCAGCAGGCAGTCCTCTGCATCCAAACCTGCAGACCCTGACAAGGGTCAGGGAGGAGTTTCTCTCTCACCTTCATCAGCATCATATGAACAGACTCCAGTTCACCTCCCAGTGTTGTTATCCTCATCCTGATTTACTGCACCATTTTTTTAATGCTCTTAACATTTGCATTTCAAAAAATGCATTTCAAGGCTCTCCAGTGGACCCTCTTGATGTGGCTGCGTCAATACTGCCTGCCTTGTGATACGATTTCCATGGCAAAGCCTTTCTGCAATCTTTTCTCGATTCTTGGCAGGAGTCCTGTGTTCTTAGTACCTTTCCTAAGACCTCATACTGTTGTCATGGTTAAACCATTAAGATACAAACAAATTGAGTCCCCCCCCCCCCCCCCCGTGCCACAAGTGGTAATATGCTATTTATTATCTCTTTCTGAGTAATCCTCACTCTGCTTTGAATGTTCAGCATTTTCCTTTCTGTGGAGAGCTGTAGGTTTGGCAGGAGTTCAAGGAAAGGCTGAAAATGCTTCTAAGAAACTATTTTAATCCCAAACAGTTAATGTTTGGAGAACAGGTTGGAACATATATAATATAGGCACCGAAGCATAGGCAATTATCTCCAAGAGGGGACAGAGAATAAGGACTGAGGTGCCCTGAGGTCAAGGAAAGAGGACAAACACAGTGGCCTCTGGTTTTCCAAGGGTCGTGGGGTCAGCTGAAGGACAAGAATGATAACACAAATGGAATAGAATGATAACATCCAAATGTGTGGGTGTGCTGATTCTCATGGCTCAAATGTGACTTTTGGAGCAGTTTGCCTGTCCAACAACAGCCATTCCGAAATTATAATAAGATCCAGAACACAGTGTCTAAAAACTCTACCAATGTTCTGCAAAGAGAGTGGAAGGAGAGGGGGAAGAGGAGGCTAATGCTCAAAAGTTCCAACATAGAAATCATTTGCGTGCTAGAGAATTTTTCCTTTTGGCCTAAATCTTTGAAAAAACACAAAAATAATAGCTTTCCGTCTACATTTTGAAGAACGGAAAGGGATGCTGGGGCATAGAAATTTTCTCCTGTTTAAATAATGAATATTTTGTGGGATGCAATGAACTGCCTCACAGTTCATTCTGCCATTGAGCCAACTGAATTCACACACATCCAGTAAAACATGATATATTCATGGTATATTATTGTAACAGTATAAGATATTATCATTTATTATGTAATCTCTACAGGGCTGCTACTTTTTGTATATGTGTGTGTGGGTAAGCATGTTTGTGTGGGTTTCACATGTAAGTATGTGCATGTGGTGGCCAATGGTCAACCTCAGGTCCTTCTTAGGAGCTGTCTACCTTGTGTTTTGAGATGGGGTCTTCTCATTTAGCCCAAACCTTGAAAATTAGGTTAGGCTGACTGGTCAGTGAGCCCTAAAGATCTGCTTGCTTCTGTCTCCCCAGAGTTGGGATTATAAGAAGGTAGCACCATTCCCGGCTCTTCATGTGGATTTTGGGGTGAGAACGAAGGAACTCACGTGTGTGCAACAACACTTTACCTACTAGGCCATCTCCCCAGAATCCTACAGTACAGCTATTTTTTGGTGTGATTTTCAGAAAGAAACAAACCTATCACCATGCAGGATCACTTAGGGGAGAAGCAGGCACTAAGGCAGTAGAAGCCTTGCCTGCCATTACAGGGGAATTATGACAATCTGTGAGAAGGCCCATAGATTTTTGTAACACTTTAGGACCAACTTCTGTGAAAATACACAGGGCCTGGAATTTGCCCTGTCAAAGCCAGACATATTTTTTTCATTGACTCTTGCTTTGAGAGTAGTGATTTTTTTCATATGTAATTTGCTTTTTATGTGAGGGGAGAGACGTTCTGTTTCTCTTCTTTGGGTGGTTGTCATATTCCTGTAAGAACAATCAATAGTGGGCCATTTATCTCTTGTTCCTTCCAACTCTGATGTGGGGTATAAGTATGTGTGTGTGAGCAATATGGATTTTTTTCGTTGCTCTATTTTACTGTCATGTAATTGGCTAGTGTGGCCTTCATTTACTTTCCAGAATACTTGGAACGTGATGACAACTCTTTAGTCTTTGTTTGTTAACTATACTCTGCCTATCTACCTTTTCATGTAATAATTGCTTTCAGAAAATAAAACAGAAATGGAATATTGCTTTGTTTAATATTTTTCCAATCAAATACACCATAGCACAGCCATCTGTGAAAATACATTTCAGCTTTCATCAAATTTGGCCTTAGCTTTTTTGAAGATTAATAATTCTTTTATGTGGGTGTGTTTCCATGGCTAATGTAATGTTGTTGGGCACAGACAAGGTTCTGCTTATGTTCCTGCTCAGGTAGGAAGGGAAAGGTTTGTTGAAGGGGAAATAATTGAGTATTTTCACTCCTAAAATTTTGTTTTGTAGAACAAGTGCTTTTGAAATGGAAAATAAAGTCGGGAAGCTTCTCTTGGTGGAAAATTGGAAGAAAAGGCTATGTTCACTCTTACTGCATGTGAGTCCCATTCTCTGCCAGTAGGACTGGGGTTCCCTTTCCATTCTGCTCTGTGTGACTGCCTGTTTTCCTTCATCGGTTCTCTCTCTCTCTTTTTTTTTCTTTTTCTGTCTTTTTCTCCCACATGCCGCTGTCCCATGTTTTTCTCAAAGCCTCACTAACACAGCTGTTGAATGTTGGGATGTAGAACACTCTGAAGAGGGCCTCAGGGTAACAGAGATCTCAGAGCAAGAAGAGTTTTAGTAAGACTACTTTCCCATAACTGCATAGACAGAGTCTCACTGACTTGAATTAACCTTCCACCCTCCATGTACTCTAGGATCTCCCTAGGTCTGGTGCAACCTGGACAGAATTCCATCAGTCTGGGAAGAGGTGCAAGAGGCCTGAGGGAACATCAGTAGGTCTGATCTGGAGGATCTTCTGCCAGTAATCAGGACTGTTTCGAAGGAGGTGCTCATGGCCTGAGGACAGCATTCTGTAACACATGATAAGGCAAGGCAATGCAGCGTGAACAACTTGGAGTTAGTCCGAATAACTTAGTTGGCTGTATACTATAGGAGTCATCAGTCTCAGGTCTGTTTCTGGCCTGGAACAGTCCAGGCAAAAGAATACTCTCTCCTAGGGGTACATACCTGGTAGAAAAGGTTGGCCCTGCACCATTTGGCTTGCACATCCAAAGGCTCCTCTTCCTAGAGCAGGCTAGCCCAGGAAAGGCAGTGTATTTCCAGCTAGAAGAGGCTTTTAAGAGGGGAGTTTTCTACTGAGGAGAAGATGTATTCCTCTTAGTCAATTCTAACTCTACACAACTTTAAAAAGCTTGTATTTTTTCTACTTTTAATTATATAGGCATACATTTCTGTTTTCAAGGTCACTTTGTTAGAAACCTGCTTCTAAGAATAAATATAGCTTGATCTTTAATATTAGATAGTGAAGAATCATATCAGATTTTTGCCTAAGGAAGTTGTTTACTATAAAATTGTTAGTTGTGCATGCTATTTTGGGAGCCTCTGTAGAATTAAAGCCATGAATATCATGGGACTGGGTTTTGGATTGGGTGGGGTTATTTGCTTACTTTATTGACTGCTACATTTTGGCCCTGCTAAGGCTTGAGAGACATACAGAAGAGATGGAGAGGTTCCGTTGCCTACATGGCTTCTCTCAGTTAAGCAGACAATCAGCCATTTTTATCTGTCATTCCAACAGTTTCCAAACATTGGCTTGAAATAAGTCTCTGTCGATCCTGCCAGCTTACCAAATGCCTCAGCTTGACCAGAAGCTTAGAAGACACCAAGTGCTCACACTATGAGGGAGTTGACACAAAGGATGGATGCTAAAACTTGAAGAAATTTATTATCACTGATTAGAATCTTATTATTTGTATCTAGACACAGCCTGCAATCAAGAAGGGGGTTATTTTGTGTGTACTTGGGGAATGAGGATGTTTATATGAGAAAAAAATTACAAAAAAAAATAGTTGGGGGTACTTGGAAGTTTAATTTCCTCCAAACTTTCTTTTCATGTTTTTGAAGGAAAAGGCCTACATCTTGTTTTTCCATAAATTAAATTTATTCCAGCATTAGCTGTTTCTCAGTGTGTCTCATGCTAAGGTGAAGAGGAGAGCTTGTACTAGTTCATTTATTAAGGAGAGTAATTTGAGGATGTTGATGATAGGAACGTAGGAGGTTTAGATCCACTTGGAAGTACAAGGACTCAAAGTTGAGACACTCACACACTGTACTGTCTCCCTTTCCGAAGTACACAGTTCTGTTTGTATTTTGTTCACAAAGCTGCACAACTCTCACTTCTGTCTAGGGTCTCAACACTTGATCACCCCTGAAAGAGCAGCCCAGACAGCCACCAGTCTCCTTTCTGTTGTATGCACTCGCCTATAGCTGACCTTTCATGGAAACTAAATCATGCGTACATAGCCTCTGTGACTGGCTTCTTTCACTTAACAGGTGGTTCCAAATACCCATCCATGTTAAAATACATTTCAGCATCCCATTCTTTTTGAGTGCTATTATATGCATATGCCAGGTTGTTTCTAGCTTGAGGCTATTATGGATTATACTGTTATGAGCATTTGTGGATAACTTCATGTGTTTGGACATACATTTTCATCCTTCTTGAGTGTGTATCTTTTGTAAGCCATATGGGGAGTCTGTTTATGTAAAGGATTTTTAAATTGTGTGTGTGTATGTATGTGTGTGTAAGCATGGTGAATATGTGTGTGGTGCATATACCTGTGTATGTGCTTGTAGAGGCCAGAAGAAGACATCCAGTGCCCTGCTCCATTACTCTCTCTACTTTTTGAAACTTTTGAAACGAGGCTTCTCACTGAACCTGGAACTATACTGGTGGCCGATGAGCCCCAGTGGCCCTCTTATTTCTGTCCTTCCACACCCAGCACTGAGGTTATGGGAGTGCATGACGACCCCCTCGTTCTTTACATAGGGTTGGGAACTGAACTCAAGCCCTCACGCGTGCTCAGAAAGCACCCCTATCCACCGAGCTGTCTCCCCAGCCCAGTTTAATCTTTATGTCAACTGCCAGACTGCTTTCTAAACTAGTACAAAAATCTTACGTTCCCATCAACAGTGTGTATACGGGTACTAGTTTCTCTGGATCTTTTCAGATACAGATCAAGATCAGTTCTTTGATTGTAGTTATTGTGGTGGGTCTGAATCCTATCTCATTGTACATTCTACTTGCATTCTCCGATGGCTAACAAGGTTGGCCATCTTTCCATATGCTTATTGGCCATGTATCTATCTTCTTTGCACAAAGGTCTGTTTAGAGCTTTTATCATTTCTAATTGGGTTGTCTCCTGGTGGTTACATTGGAGGAAATTGTTTCTAATAAATCTAGATACTAGCTCCGTATCAGATAGAAGCTATATTTTCCAATAATTCTGTGGATTTTCTGTTCACTTTCTTCGTGAAAATAGTATTCCTATTAATTGTGTGAGAAATCCATACAATGTGTTTTGATCGTATTCATCCCTCTCCCTCAACTCCTTACACTCCCACTTCCCATTCTCTTCCCACAAAAATTTCATGCCTTTTAATTGTAAATCCATTGAGTGAGTGCAATTTGTGCTGTCTTAAACTGACCTTTCCTCTTTCAGCAGCTATCGTTATTAAGAGCTCCTTACGTGGATGTGGGACTTTGTGCTCGCCTTCCCTCTCCATGTTGGAATTTTATTTGGCTTGATCTTTCACAGGTCTTGTGCACGCTGTCATTACCACTGTGAGTTCATGTGTGCAACTGCTTGTGTCCAAAAGCCACTTTCTTTGTAGCTATCCACAGCCTCTGGCTCATGTGCTCTTCCTGTCCCCTCTTCCATGATGATCTCTGAGCCTTGGGAGGACAGATTTTGATATAAATATTCCAATTAGGGCCACTCTGTGGTCTTTTATTCTCTGCACCTAAAATAGTTATGGGTCTCTGTGTTAATCTCCATCTGCTATAAAAAGAAGAGTCTGTGATGAGGGTTGGGAGACACACTTATAATATATGGGTACAACAATAAGTCCCTATGAGTGTGCCTAATATCATATCCATTTAGCACAATAATAGTAGGAGGGTCTCTTCTAGGGCCCAGAACCTAGCTCTATCCACAGGTTATTGGCTCTGATAACAATAACTGGCATGGGCTCCAGCTTGTAAAGCAGACCTCAAATACCACCACAAAGTGTTTCATTATCCCCATAACATTTGTACCACTATTGCACGAGTGGGCCTGTCTTTCCAGGTCGGTCATTATTTAGCTTACAGCATCCACAGCTGGATGAGATTGATGATTGCTTTTCTCCCTTGACAGCACCTTCCAGCACTATGAAACCTAGCCAGTAGGGATGAAGCTTCTAAGTCAGAACCAGCTTGATCTTTCAATAGTCTATGACTCAAGAATGTGGTACCTTCAGTAATAGGATCTTACTGGCAAGTTCTGGAGGGTAATGAAGAGCAACAGTGACAGCCTGTAAGTTAATTTTTGTGGGACACCATTGGTCAATAACTCCCAAAGAGATAACCCATTCCTGCCACTGCCACTGACTCCCAAAGGGTAACCCATTCCTGGCAGTGACTTATTTGCTAGCCTGTAGTGTCTGGTAGGAGCATTGTCCCCGTTGAAGTGTAACTCCATTTCAACGCTTTTTCCTATGTATGTATGTGCATAGATTAGGAAGCATCTACAGTAGTAGACTTCCATATGATGTCTTCAAAGGTCTTTGTTAGTTAGCATTCCACCTTCTCTCTTCTCTGCTCTGGCCCTCCCGTCCCTCATCCTATTTTCTTTTCCATTACTCATCCCCATTTACCCTTTACCCTCACTCAGGATGGCTGTTTCCAACTTTATCAACTTACCTGAAATTTTTATTTTTCTTAACAGTTGAGTAATATTCCATTGTATAAGTGTACCACATTTTCATTATCCATTCATCAGTTGATGGATATATGAGGCTGTTGCTATGAACATGCATGAGCAAATATCTCTGTAGAAGGATATAGAGTCCTTTGGGTATATATCCAAAAGTGCTATAGCTGAATCACACAGTACATCTATTTATAGGTTTTTTTGAGGAAATTCTACACTGAATTCCATAGTGGATGCACCAGTTTGCACTCCCAGCACCAGTGAATAAGTATCTCTTTTTCCCCACATCCATAATCACATTTATTGTCATTTTGTATTAATCCTAGCTGTTCTGACTGGAGTAAGATATAATCTCAGAGGAGTTGTTTGTGTGTGTGTGTGTGAGTATGTGTGTATTTGTTAAGTATATAGCAGGTAAATATTTTTCTGCATTCTGTAGCCTGCCAAACAGCAAGACAGAAAATTAACACACAAAAATCAGTGTTAGTTTTGTGGCTTGCTGTTGGTGAATGAGTTTATCAACTATAGAATTTTTCTGGTGGGATCTAAGTCTCTTATATATTCAACCATCACCTACAAATAAGGATACTCAGACCTACTTCTTTCCTATTTCTATGTCCTTTGTCTCCTTCTCTAGCTAAGATGTCAAGTATCCTCTATCCATATGTATGATATTTAGATAAAGAATTGGCTAAATGATAGGTGTTTACTTTGCATCTGATTTCTGGAGTTGCAGTGAAATGCAGTTTTCCAAATCTTGAGAGCAACTTTATTGCTTTTGTAACTTCCAAGAGGCAAAAGAGAATTTGGAAATAATCAAGAGGTTGGAGAAAACCAAGAACAAGATGACCACACCTTTTTCCTTCACTTCATAGAAAGGTGCCTTGGAGATTTAGAAAGTATGCTCATAGGGAAGTTAATTTTACTCTTAGATGAGATGATTGTAATTTCTCCTTATCTTACCCAAAGATCTCATTGTCTTCACTTTGCAAAAAGATGATAGATTAGATTGAGAAGCATGTCAAAATGAGATTTAGTTAGGGGAAGTACCCATGACAGAAAGGAGAATACAAGAGCAGAGCTTCAAGAGCTTTGGGCATGAAAGAAGTCTGCTCTGAGGGAGAAGAATAGAAAGGAGGTTTGATAGAAGCATCTTAGGCTGCTGTGCAGTCTGGGGAACACTTGGTAAGGCCAGTGGGGAATCTTCAGCTGACATTGCTATGAGTGGAATCTCACATCGCCATGGCATGGGATTGCTTCAGTATTTGTCCATTCGGTTGGGAGCAAACATGATGTTGATTTTAGGCTATGGTTTCAGATTGTTGATAAATTACATTTTCTGTAATTGAACTCTGTAAAGTATAGAATTGTTGCTGACAAAAATGGTAATTTTTGTTAAAATAGAGATTAGCTATAATAAGAAACTCCCAAATAGAGTCACTAACGAAGGTAAATTTTTATTTTTCTAGCAAACTGGAAGCCCAAACAGGCTATAAATGACCCAGGCTCCTTTTATCTTGTTGCTCTGTCATCCTAAGATTGTTCACACAGTTGTTGGTAACTCAAGATGGCTCACCACTGTGTCTACAGTACAGAGAGGAGAACAGAGGAAGAAGGGCAGAAATCAGCTTTCCATTGAAGAAAGGAGCTGACTAATGAATCTCTCTGTTTTACCAAAACTCAGTTGTATTAATTTTCTCTGGCTGTATCCAATGCTTCACATTTAGTGGAAATATATTTTTCTATTGTTCTCTTTCACGTCATGGACTGAAACCTTGAGGTCATCAGGTGTACACCTGTGGAGACTGTATCAGTTACTTTTCTCATTGCTGGGATTAAATACATGATAAAGAGCAAGTAAAGGGAAGACAGACTTGCCTTGGATTACAGGTTGGAGGATATGGATCATCATAGATGGGAAGGTGGGACTGTTGGTGACAGTGATCCGTAGTCAGGAAGCAGAGAGAGATGAAGGCTGGTACTCTGCAGGCTCTCCCCTTTTGTTCAGACTGGGACCCTAGCCCAATGAATGCACCCACATTTACAGTGAGCTTTCCCACCATAGTTAGCCCAGTCAAGAAATTCCTTCACAGACATGCACAGATGTTTATCTCCTAGACATAAACTAGAAGTGTTGTGATTTTCCTTCTACAGGATGTGACAAGCCTGATAAAGAACAGTAAAGACCACTCGGGTGATTGTGTGGAAATGTTCTTATGATGATGTCACTTAAGAACTTGGATCCAGCCCCACTTGAACAAAATATCTGAAGTGCTGGACATCTTCTTGTGCTGAACAGTATATGGACCTTTTCTACCGCTGTTATCACAAAGGTTTCTATTCGCCAGTTGGATGAGATTCTGACACACATAATCAAGAGGCCCATGAACTAAGGCCTTGAGAGATTTGCTAAAGAAAATGCATGATGTTATAAGCAAAGCCAAGGTTAGTACGATCAGGTCACCTTTTTTTTTTTCCAGCTATTATTACACTTCCTTTCCTCCATTTCAATAATGGCTGTGGACAAACCCTTTTGATTTCAGTCTGAAGTCCTTTGGTAATAAATCATCTATTATTATATTCTATATTATATAAAATTGCTTCTTTGTCATGTCAGCCAATCTTCATCTCTGAAGATGGCTTGAGTTGTAATGTGATTTCCTCTCATTTATCCTACAACTTTCAGCAACCTATCTGAAAAACATCACTGACAGAAAAAAAATTGTGACGACATTGACTACTCTGATTTTATTTGGGAGACAAGAGAGGCAAAGACAATCCTTTTTTTTTTTTGTTTGTTTTTTTAACCAACAAAAGTAAGGAAGATGTTGATGACCTTTTGGTTGTTGTTTCTGGCAGATTTATAATGCAGTAAAAAAATGTGTTCTGCAATCATTTAGCCCATATGGATGATATTATCCATTTCGGTCGGAACTGTTCGTGTCTTCCAGAGCTCTGAAGCTTTTTATTTAAGTGAAGGGCACTGCTAAAATGTTGAACTCAAACATCCCCCCCACCACCGAAGTTCTTTCAAGACCGTTATTATGAATAGTTTGGTTTTAAGAAATTCCAGATGAATGGTGTAAACCAAGATGAAAGGCAAAGCGCCACAGCAGCTGTGCATAAGAATTAGGCAGAAGTATGCAAATTTTAACCCCAATGATGAGAACAATGTTAAGCTGATGCTTCAGAAATAACAGCTACCCTGATCGAGTGATGACCGAGAGGTGCACAGGGTGCTTGGCTTCAAGAATTAATAAGCAAAGAAGTCCCTGGCCCTCTCTATGACGTTAGGCTAATTGTGTGAATACATCATTGTTTAGAGCAGTTTGCCATAGAAACAAACACTAACAATGACACGGTCACAGCACAGGTACTTGTCATTAACCATAAACCTGCTTTATAGAATTCTGAGCCATCAGCTCCCATAAAGCAAGGCACTGATTTATTTCTACAGAAACTGAATTCTTGAACTCCAGGGACCTTCTGGCGATGTTAGAATTCAGTGGCAAGTACAGGTCAATCTTTTCTACATCGAGATATGATAAAATGAGGAAAGCTAAGTAGCTTGAGAAAAACGGTAAAGGGAAGGTTCTAGAATGCACAAGTGTTGAAAAGAACTAGAAAGAATAGCCAGCACTAATTGGATACTCACTGTGTGTTTGGTGCATGGAAGTACTTTGTAGTCACAATATCATTAATACTTCAGAATATCTTCCAGGGTTGTGGACACAAAGTCTTCCTCTGGGCTTCAAAGCCAGGAAGAGTCAGGCTGGATGTCTTCAGGTATGGGAGGGCTTATAAACACTGTGGCATGCTGTTGATATCCTCAGACCTCTCCTGAAGCACTTGCCAGAGCAAAATCCTTAGAGCTGGTTCCTCTTGTACAAGCGCAGTTTACCAAGTAGACTTGGACGTAGCTCCTGCCAACCTTGCACATCTTCTGTTTTGATATTTTGAGGTTTTCAAAATCTGTACTTGTTTGCAAGCAACACTGTTTCTGTTAAAAGTAAGATAAAATATTGCAAGCACCCTCTTAAGCTGTCTATAATACAATACTTCTTTCTGAAACTAAACTAAACTCAAAAACTTACAGGCAAATACACCGTTACCCACTTCTCCCACCACTGTCCTTATTTTCTAATTGTCTTTTGGCAAGAATTCTATGAAGACTATGCCCTACATTTCAATCTGGCCATGTTTGACACTTCCTTCTCAGCTGGGGTGGTCAAGGGATGCGCCTTAGGAAGAATCTGACCAAGTAATCATCCTCAGAGTGCCTTAGCTTGTTTTTCTGCCACCTTTAATGTGTTTCTTTTATCTCATGGTTAGGAGCAACTTCTGGCTGCTGCATGCTGCCTTCCTCAGCCAGAAGGGATGGGGGAGAGGACAGGCTTTTCCCCCTGGAAGACAAGAACTAAAAGGAGCATGTGGGACTTCTCACATCTATGTTACTCAAGGTCACATGGTGACATCCCTTGGTGCTGGTATACAGCTGTGGCAGATAGTATTAATAGTTTTCCACTATCTGCTTTCTCTTTCTCTTCCTCAAAGGGCAAGACAATGGTTTCTCCAAAATTTGCTGACAAGTGGCTCCCAACGAAGTCTCTATTCCTGAGGCTCCTTTGCTGGAGCGACAGGATCTCTCAGTGCCTTCACTGGTCCAACACCTCATCTCAGCATTGGATCGGCCGTCTGGCCCATCACTCTGCAGTTTCAGTGTCACAATACTACCTGCAAAGGGACTCAATCTTCCCAAAGTCCTGGAACAAAATCCTTGGTGGCACTGGTGTCTGTATTCTCCACATTAGGCCACAGTAAGTGCAAGAGACACTGAGAAATACTATGTTTTGTTGGAATTCACATGTTCAACCACATTGTAGGCGTTTTAACAAGAAGATGATCAGGTTAGAAATTGGAGGACAAAAAACTTTCACTCTTATACACATTTCATAAGAGCATGTGGTGTAGTAGGACTGTACTCAGAAATGACCTTTTTGTTCTCAACTGCGTGTGTGTGTGTGTGTGTGTGTGTGTGTGTGTGTGTGTGTGTGTGTGTATATATATATATATATATATATACACACAAAATGAAAAACAATAGGAAAGTAATAAGCTTGGGACTCCACTTGACACAAGCATATCTAAAAATAGCAGGAAAATGAGTCTAACGAAGACTAAACATTAATGGCATAGAAAACATATTAAGATGGTGAAGAAACTCTAATCCCTGTTGCTTGAAAGGTAAGTGGATAGGGAGAACAACCCTTTGGCAAGACTTATAAACAAGAGAAAAGGTCAAAGAAAAATCTACTGTTGAGTCTGGAGAGATGGCTCGGAGGATAAAGAGCTTGCTAAGCAAGTATGACAGCCTGTGTTTGGATACAGAGAACACATGTAAAGCCAGATGCTGTAACACGTATCTGTAACCCCAGCACCCTCAAAGGAAGATGGGATGCAGAAACAGAAGAATCCCTGGGAATTTGTGGGCCAGCTGGAACTGGTGGAAAGTGAGAACAGGCACCAAAGGTGATCTCTGATCCCCATATATTTCACACACACACACACACACACACACACACACACACACACACACACACACAACTTAATTTTAAAAATAAAAATTTGGGAATTGGAAAAGAAATTTTATTAAATATAGGATGATGAGTTAAATACTGATAGGGTAATTATATGTAATTGATGCTAACCAATCAGAGGATTTATGTAAAATTGACTTTTTTTCTAGAGAAAAATTGCACTACTCTGAGTGAGAGTCAAAAACTGGGGAATCCGTGCAGTGCTTGCTTTAAGGAACCAAACATCTATCTACCCTTCCTCACTTCTACCCTCAACCACACGTAGCATTTGCAACTTGTGGCCAGCATCATTTTCAGTCTGAATTCTACGACACTGTTGACAAACAACATCTGTGAGTTCAAATGCTATGGAAGGAAAATGTTTCTTGTTCAAGTTATGAGGAAAGCCTCAGTGACTGCCCAGGTGTCCCTTTAAGCAGTAGGATTTACATTTACAGGCTTCTGGGAATATGGCTCTTGACCACTCACAGCTAAACCCTGGTCTAGGAATTGCCTTGGTTAGAAGGGAATGCCTTAACCAACATTACATTCCCCCACCCCACCCCAGAGAGAGGATGATTGAGCTTCCTGCACTCTACTACTACTATTACTACTACTACTACTGCTACTACTACTACTACTACACAGACACACATACACACACACATGCACACACACATGCACACGAGAGAGAGAGAGAGAGAGAGAGAGAGAGAGAGAGAGAGAGAGAAAGAGAGGACTTTCATCATAAAACTACTGTGTCTGTGATAGACTTTCATCACTGTGACAAAATACCTGAGATTAAAAAGAAGGAAGAGGAGGAGGAGGAGAGAAGAGGAGGAAAGGAAGAGGAGGAGGAGGAGGAGGAGGGGAAAGAAAAAGAGGAGGAGGAAGAGAAGGAGGAGGAGGAGAAGGAGGAGGAGGAGGAGGAAGAGGAGGAGGAGGGGAAAGAAGAAGAGAAGGAGGAAGAGAAGGAGGAGGAGGAGGAGGAGGAGGAGGAGGAGGAGGAGGAGGAGGAGGAGGAGGATGAGGATGAGGATGGTTTTATTTGGTTCACAAACCTTGGCAGTTTCAGTCCAGGGTCACCTGCTCTGTTGCTATAGCCCGAAATGAGGCAGAACATCATGGCAACAGGAGCCTATATGAGAGGAGATTATTTACCTCATAGAAAAACAAAAACAAAACAACAGCAAAACAGGGAAAGTGGGTAGAGATGGAGAGAGAGGGGAGGGGAAGACAGAGAGAAAGGAAAAGGGAAGGATGAAGAAGTGGAGGGTTAAGATGCATTCGTGGGTATGCCCCCCCCCCCAGGAATTACAACTACCCCACCTCTTAACCATCCATCACCTATGAATTCTTAGTGGATTAATCCACCGATGAGGTCAGAAGCCTCATGACCCAGTCACCTCTCAGTGTCCCACCTCTGAACACTCTGCTCTAGAGACCTAACTTGGGGCACATGAGCCTTTCAGGGATATTGCATTTGTACAACATGAAGATATCAAAAGTTTCTTTTTGAAATTAAAAGTAGCCTCCCAGAATACTATCTGGTATATTATACTATAACTTGAGTACGGAGCAACTCACAGGTAAGGAGAAAAACTCACCAAGATGTTCCCTTAGCTCATTAGCCCCAGAAGCTCTCCTCATATCAAGTAGTCATGGAGATTTACCTCTGTGGTAAGTTGTCTACTAGGTCTGAGTCTTGCCTAAGAAATATTTCAATCTGTAGGATTTCTCAGTAACTCTTTCTGTTCTCCACAGTGGCTAGTATGGAGGTCTACCTTTTCTCTAAGGTCAGCACAAAGAAAGAGAAGTGAGATTCTTCCTATAAAATGTGACAAAGCAGCTTGGGGACAAGCCTGCTTGCCACAGACACTAAGTCCTCAGAGGCATGTGGCACAAGGATGCTGTGGGCTAGAGGATGCAGGGATGCTGTGGGTTCCAGAAGAGAAGGGTGCCTGGAATGGTGACTATGAACTTTGCTAGGAAATGATGGAGTGCTGAACCTGGGGAGTAGGGGCGGGAACACAGAGATGGCTCTAGTGTAAATGAAGAAATGAGTAGAGTCACCCTACCAATGTGTGGCTCACTGGAGGTCAGGCTGAGCACCTGGGCTGTGATGTGATTGGAGGAAGCAGGAATGGGCATAGACCTCACATTGGAAATTATATGGCAGTTGTGACCCCATGATGTAGAGGGGGAAACTGTTGTGATTCGTATTTGTAAAATATTATTTTGGGTAACTCTACAGTTAGACATTTTTGTCCTTGTGTAGCAAATACTGGCATGTCTCCAAGTAGAAACGAAAAGCCAGAAAGCAGCTGACCAAAGGTAGAACGCAGGAGCATATTGCCATTTTTTAGGTACTCTCCCTGGAATGGCTCATAGAGAAGGAATTAGTCCAGGCTAGCCTTTTTAAAAAATACAGGAGAATGAAATGCTGGTTTGATTAAGGTAGCCATTTCTGTGTCCTTCTACTTTCTTGTCTATGATTTTCTATTAAAATTATTAAATGAAACTGTATTCATGTTCATTGTTTTAAAGTTTGAAAAGTCTTCAGTGTTTACGTTCATTTTTATTGATTTTTTTTAAAATAAAAGAGGCATTAAATGGTATGTTGGAAGGTCAACTGAAATATTAAAAGTAATATTTTCAAGTAGAAAAAGTCCATTATGAATAGTTGAACAATTAATAAGAGCCCAAGATACTTCCCATTAAATAAGAAAAACTATAAATAAAAATTGCATTTGAACACTATTTGAATTAATTGAGCCATCCAGTCAAACTAAAGTAAAAAAAGAAAATACATGCAGAAGTAAATGGAAGACAGGAATTATTTATTTGCCTGTTATTGCTAATATAATAAAGTCAAAAGAATCTGAAAACCATGTAGCAGTGGTTTAAAAAAAACGACAAAGGAATGATCAATGCATATGAGCAATGCCCTGTCCACTTTTATAAATTCTATATAGTACCTAGAAAGAGCCTGATGAAACAGATACAAAGTCCTTTAAAGAGAAATTATTCTAAATATGTTAAAGAGCCATGTTATAGAAAAAAATCATGTTATAGAGAAATCATACTCTTAATCTTTTCCTTAAAAAATTTTACTTTTGGACCTATGGGAGAATTCAGCCATAAATACAGTAGATCATAGCATTCTCTGTGTACTGGGGAGTTTGTAAAGGCCTTAAGTACATTTCTCACTTACATTTCAATGTAATGTGACATCAATAATTAGTCTTCATTATTGATGAGAAAATTGGGACTCAGCAAAGCTAGAGAAGGCTAGCCAGCATATCACTAACATGCGGGGCAGAGGGTCTACAGAACAGAGGTGTGCCTGGGAATGCAGACCAGCGCAGCCTCAAAGCATAAGCAGGCTGGGAAAGAAAGAGCGTTGTTGCTTGGCCTGGTTTCA